GCAGACAAATTAATGTATATTTTAGAGAGTGCTGGTAGCTTCTCGCCAAAGTATATGAGCAAAATGTTACCTGTAAGTCCTTAATAATACAATTTGGTACCTAATATCCTCTCACAGTTATGTTATGTAATAATATCATGAAGTTGATTCTGTTTCTATTTATCAATTTACAAGAATTGGTTTTATATTCTCTCACGATTTATTACGAAAACATTCCGGAGATTGATGAAGTGGTTTTAAAAAATATCATGATAGGAGATTATATTTAGACGGAAAAAATACATTTAATGGAGCTTCGCAAATACGGAGGAGGGAAAAACATTAAGTGGCAGCGGGAGGGCTATTACACTCGTAAAGGTAAAATTGGAACAAATTCCTCTCAGAGATTTAAGATTTTATTAGTCTGGTATGATATACGGCATTTGATCCGCAGCAGGGTCCGATATGGGAAAAGATTTATTAAGATAAAATCAAGAATAAAATACTAGAAAATATTGAGTCGTGATTCGGATCTATTTGTCTCTATCAATCATTTCAGCATTTCAGTAGGAGTAAAATATACTTTAATAAAAGTTATATGAAAATCGTGTTTAATAAAATAAATAAATAAAATATTTGGTATCTTAAATTAGTAAAAACAATTTTAGCATTCCCAGTTTTTAGAATCAATTTTATAATTTGACCCCTACTCACCTAATCATAATAATGATAATTGTTTATCGCTTTATGTTGGTTAATACAAATAAGATTAAGTCAGCTGTATAAGTATACAGCCGACTGTACCTACCATAACACCTTTTATTTGACCCAAACACCTAAATTGCTGCATAATTTAGGTTTTCAAGTTAAAGTGTTTTGCAAACAAAGTCGTCATGATGTACAGTCTACCGCAAAAGTAACTCCTTTACTTACTTCTGTAAGTCTGAGGCATTAAGGTTCAAAAGTTTTATGCCTACTGTACCACATTAAGGTCGAGTGCACACGAGCTAAAATAGGGTGGCTGGGCACCTGAAGCATAGACAACTAAGCCCTGTAGATGGTACATAAACTACAATGGTGTTAAAATTAACATAATATAAAAAAAGTTTATTTCACCAACAACCAGGTACCTACTTACAATAATCTGAGGCTGGAGCCGACTTAGATATGGATATACCTGTGGCAGGAAGGAGGCCCCGCTTAGTAAGTGGGATATGTTGTATAAGCAAGCGGTAGGTATTTCAAAATAATATTTTGCAATAAACTTTCCGAACAAGGAAAAATCTTGTAATAATATGAGTTCGTTTTGCTGAAATTGTATCTCCCTAGAGTCCTGCAACGGTGCCTTTTGTAGTAAAACTCGGATGCCCCTTATGTACATATTTCACAGTCAATTAAACTAGTAAAAAATAATACCAAAATTATAAATTAAATGTTGTTGAAACGTTATTAAATAAATAAAATAAAAATCAGTGAACTAGCGACTCTAGCGTAATGTAATTTTAATGTGGACTTTATAGTGCTAAGTTGTCTGCATCCTTAGCGTTTCTGGAAACAAATGAACGTTGACAAATGCAAGGCTCACTGCGCAAAAACATTCCGTCGCCAAGTAAAATGTTAGCTTAGCCTAGAATTTCTACTACAATATTTGCATTGAGTCCATTAAATGTGACATGAGCTCTCATTGGGTCATATTTTATGAGTCGACTAAAAATTANTATAGAAGTTATGGATAAAAGTTTATACAAGTTTGTTACGTTTAATTGTAAAAACGTCAAACGGTCTATAGATGCTATTCGAGATTTATGCAAGATGTCAGATATCATTGCGCTGCAGGAAACGTGGTTACTGCCAGATGAAATCACATTCTTAAGCACAATTAGCGACGAGTTCTGCAGTACTGGAATATCTGCAGTTGACACAACAGCAGGTATTTTACGAGGAAGACCTTACGGTGGAGTGGCGTTGCTGTGGAGAAGTAGTGTTTTTGAAAATGTGACGGTGATTAAGTGCGATAACCCGCGTATTTGTGCAATAAAAATAGTGTTAAAGGAAAAATCGATTTTAGTGTTTAGCCTATACATGCCCACGGATGCAGTGACTAATTTAACGGATTTTACGGACGTATTGAGCTCGGTGAGTGCTATTATAGACAGCTGTAATATAGACTGTGTTTACATGCTAGGGGACTTTAATGCACACCCCGCTGAACGATTCTATCAAGAATTAATACTTTTTTGTACCGATCAAGAATGGTCTTGTATTGACATCGATATGTTAGGTGTTACGTCTGATACTTTCACTTTTGTAAGCGATGCGCACGGATCTAAGCGATGGCTTGATCACTGTTTAGTTACTAAAGCTGCGATTCAATCAGTAAAATCAGTTTATGTTGTTCAGGATGTGTTATGGTCGGATCACTTGCCACTAGTTATAGAATGTAACTTAAATGTCGTCTTGGCAAAGAAAACTATGCCTAGTGTGCATCAAAATAGTATATTATGGGGAGAAAGAAATTGTGACGAAATTGATACTTACCGACAAGAATGTCAAAATAGATTAAAACAGATCGAGTTCCCAACCGAGTTGCGCGGGTGTTGTGATCATATGTGTGATAATTTTAAACATAGATCTGTTATAGATAAAATTTACCAACAAATTGTAAATGCTCTTAGCGAGGCCGCGTCACTAGGACGTAATTTTAAAAAGAAAAGAAAAAAAGTTGTAATAGGCTGGAATAAACATGTAGCTGAAGCGCACCGGGAGGCGAAGCAAAAATATCTTTTGTGGTCATGGTACGGTAAACCGACTACAGGCATCTCCTTCAGTCAAATGCTCGAGACTAGAAAAATATTTAAATCGCGTTTGAAGTGGTGTCAGGACCGGGAGAGCCAAATTAAAATGGATATCTTGGCTTCACACCATTCGAAAAACGATTTTCGTTCCTTTTGGAAACATACCAATAAGTTACAAAACAAAGCAAGCCCCCCGGTATGCGTGGACGGTATAAGTGAGCCTAAAGAGATAGCTAACTTGTTTAGAAGTCATTTTGCTGTACAGTCACCATTGGGTCCCTCACAGTCGGAGCTGGATGCTGTCGCCGGAGTGGACAGGGTGATAACGTTTTCCATAAAAGAAATTAAATTAAAAATACAAGCGATGTCTAGAGGGAAATCCCCTGGTCATGACGGTCTCAGCATTGAGCACCTAAAATTTGCTGGGCCACATTTGCCACGATTATTGTACATGTTATACAATTTTTGCATAGGACATGGCTACATCCCTAGTGACATGACAAAAACGGTGGTAGTGCCCATAGTGAAGAATAAGACGGGCGATCTCGCGGACAAAAATAACTATAGGCCTATCTCGCTAGCAACTGTTATCTCCAAGGTCTTTGACGGCTTGCTTAATACACGGCTAAATGGCCACTTTGAACCGCGTGATAGTCAGTTTGGATTTCGGCCAGGGTTGTCAACGGAAAGCGCGGTGTTGTGTCTTAAGCATACAGTCACATACTACACGGAGCGCAAAACTCCCGTATACGCATGCTTTTTAGATCTTTCTAAGGCATTTGACCTGGTCTCATACGACAAATTATGGAAAAAACTTGAANATATATCGGCGCCCACCTCTACTACCGGTTGAACTCTTAAATATTCTTATACATATATGGTACAAAGACCAGGTCAACAATGTTAAATGGGAGGGAACCATGTCGGATGCGTATGGGTTGGAGTGCGGGGTGAGGCAGGGGGGGTTGTGCTCGCCAACGCTTTTCAACTTGTACGTTGATGACCTCATAGGCGAGCTCAGTAGCACCAGAATCGGCTGTCATATAGATGGAGTTTGCGTCAATAACTTAAGCTACGCGGATGATATGGTGCTGCTGAGCGCATCTGTGTGTGGTCTGAGAAAATTGGTGGCCAAATGTGAGGAGTATGCGGGGACCCATGGTCTACTTTATAATGTTTTAAAGAGCCAACTCATGGTCTTTGAGGCCAGGGGTAGACGTCATGATGTATTACCACCGGTCTTCCTTAATAACTCTGAACTGAAGAGAGTGCATAAATTTAAATATCTTGGTCACGTATTGACCCCTGGCCTCAAGGATGATGAGGATATAGAAAGAGAACGGCGGGCATTGTCGGTGAGAGCGAACATGCTGGCTCGCAGGTTTGCGCGCTGTACAGCGGATGTCAAGATTGCTCTTTTTAGAGCATATTGTACCTCCTTCTACACGTGTAGCCTGTGGGTTAGATACACTCAAAAAACCTTCAATGCCCTAAGGGTGCAGTACAATAATGCATTCAGGGTGCTGTTGGGACTGCCCCGCTTCTGTAGTGCGTCAGGGATGTTTGCAGAGGCACGGGTCAACTGCTTTTTTACCACAATGCGCAAAAAATGTGCATCCCTGGTGCGCAGGGTCCGGAGTAGTGGCAACAGCATCCTGACCATGATTGCAAGCAGGTTGGATTGTGTGTACGTGAGGCATTGCTGTGACACAGCCTATGGAGTGAAGCGGGGATGACTCATGTATGCATAACCTCACACTTGTGGATTTGGAATTGAAATGAGTATAATTTATTATAATACTTATTTCAATTCTAAATCTAAATCTAAATTCAATTTTACATCTGTTTCAACTCAACTAACATAGTTTTTAAGTGCAATTGTTATTAACAAACTGAGTCCTAGTAACTTGAATAAAGAATGATTTATTATTATTATTATTATATGAAATATTGTTAACGCACTCACTCAACGCAAGATACGAGCGCGACGCCGGGCTGCTGCGCAAGGAGTAGGCGCACGACCTCATCGATTTCGGCATCCCACTAACCTGTAGGCTGAGAAAGTGTTGTAAATATTGTTAGTCGCACTCAGTCAACACAAAGCATAATATCAGGTAGGTATCTAGCATGTGTGCTCGACCGTCAAAGAATGACTGTCTCTTTACTACAGCCACAATACACTCACATACACCCATTTATTATGTATATCGCATCTACTTTACCATGATGCCGGTCAGTGACCCTTGGCTTGCGGCTGTCTCCAGACCTGAGCCTGTAGGCAGGGAATGTTAATGTAATATTGTTAACGCACTCACCCAACGCGAGAAACAAATGAATGCGACGCTTATCAAGTAATAGTTCTTTTGTAGCCAACACACTGTGTGTCGGTTTGGAACAAACTTTTGACATTTTAACAGACAAACAGACAGGTAGGGCAAATGAAAAAAAGTCCTAAACCACCAACGTACACACGGCCACACTGTTAACTATCCATTTCCGTTTTTGCTCTCGCTCTCATCAAATGGTGATTCTTTGCGATAGAACGAGATGACATGACAGGCAATGGGTAGTTAACACTGTTGCCGATAGTACCTGGCATGTAGCTAACATACGCTGTGTCATTTTCGCAGGAGTTCGTGGGGCGCTTCCCGGTGCTGGTGCCGTTCCACAGCCTCAACCAGGACCTGCTCGTGCGGATACTCACGGAGCCCAAGAACGCTATGGTGAGTTGACTATTTCGTTACTGGTGGTTGTTTTGAAGATCACTAATTCCCAAGGTAGGTACAGTCAACGTCAAATAGTCACCCAAAGTAGCCAATAAGTTCGTAACATAACAAATAAATAGATCGTAGTGGATAAATTGATATATCTTTTTGCAAGCTTATGGATCGAGCGATCGATAGTGTTAAAGTGCAGTCGCCGAGCAGATAGATTTTCGTCCAATGACCTCTCCTTATCGCTCGCGCGTAATTATATTGCTGTCACGACTGTACGACGGCCGGCCGCAGTGGGTGTGCGAGCGCGACAGCAATATAATTACGCGTGAGCGATAAGGATGGCAGGCCGCTACCAACCGGGCAACATGGAAAGCATTGGGGGAAGCCTATGATCAGCAGTGGACGTCCTATGGCTGAGATGATAATGATAAGGATAGGTAGCTTGGGGTCATTGGACGAAATTCTATGTGCTCGGCGACTGGACTTTAGTACAGTAGAATCCCGATTATCCGGATCAATTAAAACCAGATAATCAGGGGTGTTCCGGATAATCTAAAATCCGGATAATCGATTTCAAAGTAAAATCAAACAATAATGAAGTTTTTACAATAGAAAGAGTTTTCAATACATTATTTAGAGTCAAAAATCAACCTTTTAGAACATTGAATGAATCCATTTCTTTTAACAATGAACTAAGACGAAGTCCGGACCGTGTTACGGTGGCGGCGCCTTCCGTTTTTATGGGTCCAGACTCTAAATCGGTAATTAGAAACCGTGAAGAATGAGTCCGGATAATTTATTTATTTATTTATTAGGTCTACCAACATTGTTACATTACAACATGTACACTTAAAAATAACAATTATGAACAAAGTTACAATGCAACAACAATTATAGGCTGACACAACATGCAATATAGATTCAATGCAGTTTGTTCCGAACCGTTCCATGCACACAAAAAAACATTTAATCATATCAATAATAGTAGAATTTTGATTTAAACATGACTTATCTTATAAGTAGGTACGTTACGTACTTACTTACTACAAATGCAAAATAAGTTTCATTTACTAAAAAAAATAAATAACGGTTACCATAGCTCAATCTGACACAAACAGTTGAGACGCCACAAAGGAGTATAGTTTCCTTTTATACTGTGTTTGGGAGTAGTGCAGGAGATCACTTTCGGTGGCACCAGTGGCCCCGTAGAACCTGGAGCATTCCACGCGAAGCGGACAGGTAAAAAAAGTCGATGTTTCCGATTTCAGTAATATTTGAGTATGTTCTACCTATACATATTATTGATACGTGTACCAAATATTTTTGTAATATAATGACTAGTTTAAGAGTTATGGGTCTTCGAAGTTTTCGACAACCGGTTGGCATGCAGTACTTCAAAGCCGATTATGGAGTCATAAAATTATATATTAAAATAATTAAACCACGGGATTTATTACTTCATTTACCGTGCTTTTTAACTGTATTTTTGGAAACGAAAAAAAAATTATTTTTTCCTAAAAAAAATGCAAATTAATTTTTTTTCCTTGATTTTCACAAAGTTCGACCCTTTCGATTTTTTTAATTTTTTTTATTTAAATAGCTAATATTGTGTAGAACATTCATGCCAACTTTCAAAGTGGGCGTGGAAGTGGATTCGGAGCTAGACTGAAAATACTGCCGAAGGGTGGCGTCCAGCGCCGCGCCGTCGCGCTGCCGCGCCTGAAGCCCGCCGCCTGTGCGCGTTTAGTAAAACATTCCGTCCAAAGTGATTTTATTTGCTTGTCAGTTTCACTAAACGCGCACAGGCGGCGGGCTTCAGGCGCGGCAGCGCGACGGCGCGACGCTGGACGCCACCCTTCGGCAGTATATTCAGTCTAGCTCCGAATCCACTTCCACGCCCACTTTGAAAGTTGGCATGAATGTTCTACACAATATTAGCTATTTAAATAAAAAAAATTAAAAAAATCGAAAGGGTCGAACTTTGTGAAAATCAAGGAAAAAAAATTAATTTGCATTTTTTTTAGGAAAAAATAATTTTTTTTTCGTTTCCAAAAATACAGTTAAAAAGCACGGTAAATGAAGTAATAAATCCCGTGGTTTAATTATTTTAATATATAATTTTATGACTCCATAATCGGCTTTGAAGTACTGCATGCCAACCGGTTGTCGAAAACTTCGAAGACCCATAATTCTTAAACTAGTCATTATATTACAAAAATATTTGGTACACGTATCAATAATATGTATAGGTAGAACATACTCAAATATTACTGAAATCGGAAACATCGACTTTTTTTACCTGCCCGCTTCGCGTGGAATGCCCCACCTGTTATATTCAACGCAGATAATCGAGATTCTACTGTATTCAAGTTTGACCTTTTTACTGATCATGTGTTCCCCGCAGGTGGCGCAGTACAAGCTGCTGTTCGCGATGGACAAGTGCGAGCTGTCGTTCAGCGCGGACGCCCTGCGAGCCGTGGCCGCGCTCGCTATGGAGCGCAAGACCGGCGCGCGCGGCCTGCGCGCTATCATGGTACGATTTTATTTTTATTTGTACAAAAACCGGCCAAGTGCGTGTCGGACTCATGCACAAAGGGTTCCGTACCATTGATTTATGAAATTAAAATTATTATTTTTTATTTCAGTTATTAGTATGAAAGATTACGCGGTAATAAGCGGTTTACGATTTACGAGGTATAAAAAAAAACTACTTACTAGATCTCGTTTAAAACAATTTTCGTTGGTAGTTTTTATAGTAATGTACAGTCGCAGAATGAAAAGGTTCGTCACCTTAGTGTCGGTTTTCGCTTGCACTAGGTACTGTAAGAGTCAAACCTGCCAACATAACAGTGCAAGAAACAGTGCTGCTAACATTTGAATAAATATGACGTTTGCTAACAAATAAGGTTTTGCTTGTTTATTTTTCTATCCCATCAGTGCAATGCANCTACCGTGCCCCTAAATATTTTAGTTTTTCCTTGATTCATACACCAAACACTACTTATATTCCAAATTTGAAGCTTCTAGGTCTGCTAGAAGTGCCTTAGAATTTTGATGATCGGTGAGTCAGTGAGTCAGTCAGTGAGTGACAAAATTAAGTAACTTTGACCCGTTATAATTCTTAAACTACTGGTTCAAATTGAATGAAATTTTAAATATACCGTGTCTTTACAATGCCTCGACTTGGTGGGGGCACTGCCGTGCCCCCAGATATGAGCAGCGAACCCAATGTAGCGCAGACGCGTTAAGACGGGTTTCCATTCCACATGCATAACGGGGAGAAGGCGTACGCCACGTGCTGTACTAGATAACTAAAGGTACAAATAAAAGCTCAGGCCAAATGTTTGTCTCGAAGCGCTGGTAGGGCAAAAAAATAATGAGAGAGCATTTGACGATTGGCAAGTACTAATTTAATTAGTCTAAACAAATAAAGATAATTTTAATTTGATTTGATTTGATTGGCCCGCGTCTGACGTCAGGACCTGGCATCCGCCCTATGTACCCACGCAAGTTTTAGCATTAGGCCCTCAATCTTACGGACCGTGAAACTCATATTTCTTTTTTTGCCTACAGGAGAACCTGCTACTAGAAGTGATGTTCGAGATCCCCGGCTCCGACATCACGTCAGTCCACATCCACGAGGGCTGCGTCCACCGCAACGAGGCGCCGCGCGTGCAGCGACGACACGACGAGCGCGAGCGATGCGACGCCATGGACGACTGGCCCTCGGTGCGCCTGCACAACTGTACGTAGCGTGGGCGGCCCGTAGCACTGTAGCGTACTGTAGCCGCGCGTACTGCGACGCCNCTGAATAATTTTGAACTTTACTGACGAACAGTTAAAGATTATTTTCTCTAACTCGAGATTATTCTGTAACATACTTTCAAAAGGTAATATGTGCTCGCGATTCGTTGAAGGAATCAATTTGAAAACTGACGAACCTTTTCATTCCGTGACTGTACATCATATGTTTTTTTAGATTAGAAGTTAGAGGGGGGGGGGCAACTTTTTTCCACTTTCCCCGAGCCCCCAATATTAAGGGTTCCGTTTTTTGCCATTTGGCTACGGAACCCTAAAAACACATACAGAGTACAATCAACAAGGTACATTTACAACCAACAATAAATACAGTTTTAATCTAGATTGTAATCTCAGAAAGTGTTTCTGACATGTTCAACAAGCTATGTTTAATAACATTGGATTTTAATAAATTCACATATTATTATTGCACAAATTACTGACATTCCCGTTAGGCTCTCGTACTAGGCTAAATATGCTTGTGAACTCACCACAATAGTCGAGCGGCAGCGGGGTTCGAACCGTTTCGAGTTTAGTCCGACCCCTTTCCCGTTCGACTATCGTGGCTTCAATGAGGAAGCTCTTGAGCTGCATCTTACCTAATGGAAAGGCACGATGGAATCCTCAACTACAGAGGACGTGTGGCTTTACCTTGAACACGTATACATTCTTAGCCCTGAGAATAAATGCATGGGCGCAGTCATGCCTAGTCAAATTAATCCCATCAAAAACAATACTTTTCAAAAAACCAAGTCTCGCAACTCAGTTGTTCTACGGTAAAAAGTTGTGAGATCCATGTAATACCAAGTCCAGGCCAGGAAATCTTTAACGTTTTACATAAATTATTGACTTGGCCATCGCACTAAATAATTTAATTTACACGTGTTTTCATGCGATGGCCAAGTCAATATATTTATGTAAAACGTTAAAGATTTCCTGGCCTGGACTTGGTATTACATGGATCTCACAACTTTTTACCGTAGAACAACTGAGTTTTTTTTATAAAATTTTACTTATTCTAATTTACCAGAGGCAATGGAGGATTTGGTCTACTCTTCCATACTAACCAGATGTGTTTGGAGGCTTGGATATTATACGCATGTTTGTCCTTCAGTCATCTTTTTGACATTGACGGGAAGAGTGGAAGTGGTCCCACTCTGAGTGTGATCAAAACGCGTAAAAATTTACGATTATAATTTTCAGCTGAACATCCTGTACACAACAAACTGTATTGGCAATCCAACCATTCCCTCTGAGAGTCGGCCAAGTTTCAATAGCGATTGTGCAGTAGTTGCACTTGCAGTTCAGTTGTAGCGTATTGAATTAGGCCAGCCGTAAGTTTATGATGAGCCGGTTATCTCCGGAGAGCAGATTTAATGGCGCCTCGATTTGAAATTCATGACTTACACAACTTTTATTATCATAGTAAGTATACTGTTCTGTTGGTTGGAAGTAAATAAGATATAAAAATATTTGAATAAATATAATCGAATAAGTATGACACATTTTAACTGGCTGATGATGTATGAATATGACGGTTAAGTCTTAATTAAGTTTAGTCTATATACAGGGTGTCCCGTAATGTAACGTCAAGCCGGAACTGGGTGTTGAGGCAAGTTATGCTGGTTATCAGAAAAATATAAAAAAAAATCTATGTGGCATATTTTCAAAATAATGGGCATTTAAAAAAAATCAAAAATTTCTACTCCAGGTGACGGTCTTTTTACTCGTGTTGCCACAAATCTTCACTTTTTCCAAAATTTTTTTTTGTTATGTAACCCTGAATAATGCTTCTCTAAATTGTTATCAAAATTACAAAACTAGCTGCTCCAGCTGGGATAAAAAAAATACGTTATTCCAAAAAAAAAATTCAAAATAAAAATTTTGTCTAGTTTAAACTGACTGTACTGAAAAAAAAAGTACTACGCAAGTGTGGCATGTGACGTCATAATTTGGCGCATTTAGTAAGGATTCCAAAATGGTATAACACTTGGTAAATTCTTGCGGTAATTGTCGACAATTTTTGGTTTTTTGGAAATAATCCCGTTTTTAACTTTATCTACCTTGGTTAAAAATTATTATTCTAATGTGCCCAAAATTCAAGTTTCACAGAAACTTTTGTCACCATGACAGTAATTAGTAGTTGACATACTGTGACAAAAGTCACCCGTGCGTGTGCGCCGTTACTACCTGCTCTGCCTGCACTTGTACTTGGTAACAGGGATAATAAGGATATGAAGTTTCGGTTATGAATACGGTTACGGATATTAGAATAATATTATACCGGTTTCGGTTACGGTCACGGATATGAAATCATTTCAGATTATCCGAAAGTTTCGGATAATTTCGGTTACGGAATTATTAGAATTTCAAAAATGTAGGTATAATTCAAATAGCAAGATGCTGCGTGACCCACATAGCTACTTTATGTACCAACTAAGACGACACCTATGTATGATAAAGGTTAAACAGGCTGGCATATTAGATGGTGCCAGGGAATGCCAGACAAGTTGGTAACAAATATTAAGATTTAAGGTACAATTCCAAGACGGGCCGCAGACCGCAAACTGCAAAACTCTATGAAATCGGCAGCGCGGCATTGCTGCTGCTGCGGCGTGTATACTGCAGATTTCATAGAGTTTTGCAGTTTGGAATAATTTTACCCTTAGACTCCGCCTTTATCCGAAACTATCCGTAACTTTTGAATCAGTTTCGGTTACGGTTATGGATATTTTTTTATTTCGGATATCCGATAGTTTCGGTTACGGTTACGGATATCCATAACATCCCTGCTTGGTAAGATGGCCCTCTCCGTCCCGCTCATACCTTTTAAAATGGCTTCTCCACCTCATTTAAGCCAGAAACTTGAATTTTGGGCACATTAGAATAATATTTTTTAACCAAGGTAGATAAAGTTAAAAACGGGATTATTTCCAAAAAACCAAAAATTGTCGTCAATTACAGCAAGAATTTACCAAGTGTTATACCATTTTGGAATCCTTACTAAATGCGCCAAATTATGACGTCACTTGCCACACTCGCGTAGTACAATTTTTTTTCAGTACAGTCAGTTTAAACTAGGCAAAATTTTTATTTTGAAAATTTTTTTGGGAATAATGTATTTTTTTCATCCAAGTTGGAGCAGCTGGTTTTGTAATTTTGATAACAATTTAGAGAAGCATTATTCAGGGTTACATAACAAAAAAAAAATTTGGAAAAAGTGAAGATTTGTGGCAACACGAGTAAAAAGACCGTCACCTGGAGTAAAAATTTTTGTTTTTTTTTAAATGCCCATTATTTTGAAAATATGCCACATAGATTTTTTTTTATATTTTTCTGATAACCAGCATAACTTGCCTCAACACCCAGTTCCGGCTTGACGTTACATTACGGGACACCCTGTATATAAAAATGAAACCCGTTTTCCGTTGTCACGACATAACATGAAAACGGCTTGACCGATTTGGCTGATTTTTTTTGTAGTTTTCTAATACTCTGTACAAGGTTTTTACGGAAAAAAATATAAAGAAAATCTCTACGCTAAGGCGGTACGAAGTTCGCCGGGCCAGCTAGTAAATAATAAAAAAAGTGTTTCATAAGATCTCAAGTCTCGTCTACACAATGTCTTGCATGTCCAAAGAATAGTTCATCAGAAGCAGTTTGAATTGTTATAAAATATCTCATCATGGAAGCCTGATAAGAAAAGGCAAAACACTTTACGCCTATAATTCACAAACGATGCTTGCTTAAGTGAAGCAGCAAATCGAATGCACAGCGTTGAATAGAGCTCTGTGATTGGTTCGTTCGTATTGGTGAGTATATCACCCTGTGCGTCCACCCACACTGTGAGACCTCGTAGTAATATTTGTGAATACGGGCGTTAAAATTGTTGACATATACAAAATAGGTACCTATATCAACAGAAATAAAGACCTATTTGAACTCTTTTCGTCTCAGCCATTTTCTTAATGCCATACGACGCTCGCTTCAAATAATAAAATAGTTCTCCGGCTTATCCCTAACGAAGGTCTTTGCTAGTTAGGATAAGTGCGCACCTCCGAAAATAAATCCTAATGTACACGAACACTCCCAAGAAAGGGGTCAAAAAGGCCCTATGGTAATCGTTCGTGTGGGAAAACTGAGAATACGAGGGGTTGGTGAATAATGAGGGTGCAATCATAATAAATGGCAACCTTCCGAGGAATGTTTATTGCGACCAAAGTTGGTTATTGATTTCATACAGCATACGAGGAATGCAAATGTTAGTCTAACCACAAATGTAGATCACACAGAGTTCTAGTGATCAGCTCGCAAAATTTCTTTCTTTGACATTTAGCGCATAGCCTGTAAAAAATAGGTCATAACCGTCTTGTGATAGATTTTTTAAGTCACATATAAGCACCTGATATTTCTCAAAAAGACCAAAAGTTAGACGTGCATTCTCAAAGCATAAAGTCAGTATTCAGTAATGTTTCTGCTTACTCAATTAGGATGATTCAAGCCTTGCAGTTCTCAAACCGAATTGATAAGTGCTCGTAGTAGTATTTTATTTATATTGATTTGATCAATGGCATAAGGCAATAGCCGACAATAATAGCTCTAATGTGAAGTGAACAAAGATGAATTTGCGTAATGTCCCGCATCACTACCTTACACGACACATTCCCAAGTTCGCCGATGCAAACTAACTGCCAACTATTTCATAGGGCCGCATTCCAGCCCGAACTAACTCGACAATTACACAGCAAACGCTCGATAATGGTCTCTATCACCCTCTCAAGCATGCACGATATGGGCCTTTAGCAGGCCATAGTATAACCTCGTAACTGGTCAAAGGATCCATTTTGGAAACGTAGAATTGCGGTTCGAAGGATACGGCTTTACTCGTCGTAATATTTTTTTCAATTATAACACAAATTACAAAGCCCTACACTCTACTACAAAATGGAATAATCATTCTTGTGCATTTATGTACACAAGCAATTCAGATTAGGACTGACTG